ATCTTGTCGGGTTTGATGTGTAGTGCTGTCAATAGTTATGTAGGCTCTCACTATGTGAGAGATTTTCTAGCGATACTTGTGAAAGTTCGTGTAGACGTCTTGAAAATTATCAATTGATTCCAATTGTTTTTTATTCTTTCCATATACAATACAACAGGCATTTATCATCTCATCTTTTGCACCGTCGGTTATCGGCATTTTCAATACGATATCGATCAGTAACTGATACCACATAAATAAAGCACTTTCTTTATTCGAATCACGTGTTGATCGTTCAATAGTCTTATCAGTGAAAACAGTAACGGTGGCAGACTTTCACATTTTAAAATATTTCGTTAATTTAGTAAATAAATGATCTTTAACATTAAAAATTCCTCGAAATTTGGGTGATATATCATTCGGAAGAGGAATAGAGGAAAGAGCATGAATGAATACAAATTGTGGTACATCTTTGATTTTTTGAATTAGTGTTTCATTTGAATTTGAATTATTGAAAATAACAAGAAATATTTTGTGAAATTCTGTCCTGGTTAACAGAAAACGTCGACATGCATCTGTGTTTCGAAAGTTTTTACATTGTTAATAATATTGTGAAATCCAATTTAACCGACATCTGACGTTAGCCAAACTAGAAAAAAATTATCAGTGTTTTCTTGTTCTTCAACAGTGTGTGCAAACATCATATGCGAGTTAGTAGAACTAATGGTCACTTGTGGAGGTGATAGTGTTGTAGACGGGGCTGCTGTTGTCGCCAGTTTATTCCAATGTTTCCGTAGATTTTCGCCAAACTTTGGATCATCAAACATTATTTTTAATTGGGCTTTAAAAAACCCACTTCCTTTCTTATGCTTTATTTCGTGAACCAAAAAGATACGAACGAATCCTTAAAAACGTCCATCCATAGAAATACAAATCAAGCTTGATTCTTTTCACTCATTAGAATAGAAGTAAGAACAAACTTTTTGTCTTTCTTGTTCTATTTGATGTTAACTGTATCACAAGAGTATCGATGGAAAAAACTAACAGGAGGAAAAGGGAAGAATGTTTTTTACTTTTCTACTGTACAGAAGACAATCAACATTCGCTTGAAAACAGCTCTAAACACAAAAGAATGATGCATTTGATGATCCAAAGTTTGGCGAAAATCTACGGAAAAATTGGAATAAACTGGCGACAGTAGCAGCCCCGTCCACAACACTATCACCTCCACAAGTGACCATTAGTTCTACTAACTCGCATATGATGTTTGCACACACTGTTGAAGAACAAGAAAACACTGATAATTTTCTTCTAGTTTGGCTAACGTCAGATGTCGATTAAATTGCATTCCACAATATTATTAACAATGTAAAAACTTTCGAAACACAGATGCATGTCGACGTTTTCTGTTAACCAGGACAGAATTTCACAAAATATTTCTTGTTATTTTCAATAATTCAAATTCAAATGAAACACTAATTCAAAAAATCAAAGATGTACCACAATTTGTATTCATTCATGCTCTTTCCTAATAAAATGTTGTGGAGTTTACAATACTTCTACCATGACTTCCACATTTTCCGCTACATGAAAATCATGCAACTTTCTTAAATGAAAATTATTAATTTTATGTGTTCAGAGATTGACAAGTAAACGCAATAAACGAGGGACTTTTATCAGCCATACACACACCCATCTGCACGCTCACACCACCCTGACAATGTCACCCACGATCGAATGTAGTTAGAACGTCTGATTTTTCCTGTTTCTGCGAAAATAACCGTACATGATTGTTCATTTTCAGATATCGTTCCAGACAAACTTTATTGTGCGATTTTCACACAACGTCATTCGAAATGGAAAAGTCTCTGGACACCTTCTGAAAGAAAATTTTGATCAGTTCTTGCATAAACATCGCCGTCATCGACATAGTGCCGATGGTGAATTAGACAATTTAGCCACTTTCCTCGTTCAAAACCAAAGCTTGACTCTATCAGATTTCACAGGAAATAATCCAAACAACGACATTCATCACCCTTCGAGACAGTATTTGTTTCGCAATCTGCTACAAGTAAAAAAAAGTGAGCAACGCAACACGACAGAGCAAGTCGAAAACGACATAGATACGTGGGTCCACGATTTGACAAGCTCGCAGAGCAGGCGATTAAAGTGCTTAGGTGGGCGTATCACATTTTGCGGAAAACAAAGTGAAATACAGCAGCTTCGGATGTCACCGTCTACATGTCGATTAATTTTAACTCCGTCGTACAGTCGCTACCAACCCAATGACAATACATGGCTTTGGAAACAGAGAAAAAGCCAAATCTGGCACGATACTAATCGGGAGATGACAAGTCATATTCTCGTCGTACGGCCTTACCAATATTCGGCCTAAATACTTGCCTTCTGTGATCGCGGCTTCATTGTTGCCTCCATGCCTGAAAATGAAGAGAGTGTGGGTTCGGCGCGCTTTTGGTGCATGATTATTGCTTATTGCCTTCGAAATCCTTGGGCTTTCATGCTAGATGACTCCTTTCATCCCCTTCCTGTGAGAGACACTCGCGTGGCTATCAATGTTGGAAAAGATGTACTCTTTGGTGTTCATGTTTTAACCAAGCTTCGCAGTAAACTAGGCGACGAAATAAATGCAAACGTAGGTATTATCAGTCTACGTCGCTACAATCAATACAACGGAAACACATCATTAGTGACGGTGCATTTTTGCCAAGGTTTCCAGATGATTCACGTTGCAGCTATTATGGCTCGCAACTTATATTTTCGACGAGGATTGCACTATGCCGAGGACATTTTGTTCTCTCAAGATTGTTGCGATGCACGCTTGGCCACGTTAATGCTGACGAAGATAGAGTACTTTGATCAAACACGCCAATGTACTGCTATCTCAAACTCTGGTGTCCACTCGTCTTTTCAAGCGATACGTTCAACCACTCCCGACACAGTTCAGTCTTCTCTTTACCCAATAGAAACAGCACCGCCGTCGCTCCCTTCTGTGCTTACAGAGGCAGTAGCAGATACCACCGACGCATTCGCCAACATAAAGCTTGATACTACATTAACCCAGAATCAGAATGTCCAATAAACTGAAATTTTTGCTCTTCTAGCACTAACTATTAGTGGTTGAAGTACGCCGAGTTTCGCGGGAGAATTCAATTCAATCTAAACATATGTGTCACAGGTCATCTACTTATCCGCCTGTCATTTTCCTGATTGGAGACAGGTGAATGGTATTTTGGCTCACTTTCGAAAGCGCCCAGCTATTTTTGCCATGTTCGAATCAAGTCCATCTCACACGATCAAGTGACTATCTAATCTGAATAAAACCGCCAGGATAAAGATTTTCCAGACAGATATAGAACTTCTTGCATTGGTTTCTTATGTGTTCAGAAAAGGGTTCACCTCAAGACGGGTAGGCGATTTATTGATAGTTGACCAGAAACAACACCTAAGATCATTTCAGAAGGAGAGGAACGGCCATCGTACAGATTATTCGTTCGACTGGCCAAGCTCCATGATCACATCATGAACTAGTTCTTTCTCATCGTCCTTGCTTGTGTTCGTAAACGCTTGAATGCGATGCTTGCGATGCCAGTGTCGCACGAAAATGCGGCCAATCGAAAGAAGAGCCAGTTTGTTAAAACCACCCCCAGAAACTTTTAAAAAATATCGTAAAACCACTCCTAGATAAAATCTGATAGTAATTTCGATATAGGTGCTGCCGGACTTTTTGCTTCCATTTTTAGTGATACAGTGCATCGGACGAAATACAAACAAGTATGATCAAAAAGACACTTTTTTTCTATTCATTCAACATTCATTGTCATTTGTTGAGGTAATGTCGTCATTTGTGAGGTAGAGACATGTGCCAAGTGACAGCGGAATTGTGTAAGAAGTTGTATAACTGACGACATTCATCTTTTTCTCTTTGATCAAATAGAATGGAAGAAAAAACATGAAAATCTCATGCAATGGTTGAGTAATAACATGTTCGTCGTCATTGGATGAATTGCTTTCATCAAATACCCAGAGGAAAGAGAAGTAGTTGGTTTTTCTCCATTTCCTTCATCAGCATCTAACGTGTATAAAAAGCGAACAACTTTACTTGAATCACATCAAAAGACTCGATTCATCGATCATACGTACAGTAAATCGCTTTTTCTTATGCTTGAGAGTATTTCACTTAGTGAACCAACACCATAAGTTCAACAGTTCTTGAGAACTGTGAATTGTAACTGTCTGATAGTTCAGGTTCATAAGAATTGTAGGTTCCGATCAGTTCAAGTTTAAAAGAACTGTAACTGTTGAACAGTTCTTCGAAAAAAGAACGATATGTAAATGTGATGTAAAATAGACATTTTGCTTCCATTATACTTCCATTTCTTCTAATACAGTGTCTCTCAAAACGAACTACTAGTATATGCAGTAAAATGTCGATTCTAAATCACTTTTGCATAGTTCTTTTGTAAAAGAAACTGTTCAACAGTTACAGTTCTTTTGAACGTGAACTGATGTGTAGTAACAGCCCTTTGAACTTGAACTGATAGTCAGTTACAATTCTTTCAAGCTTGAACTGATCGGAACCTATAGTTCTTTGAACTTGAACTGATACGCAGTTACAGTTCTTAGAACTAAACTGAAACTGTCACAGGCCTAGTTGAATCGTCACCTTCCGGCAGGCAGCATGCACCTCCCCCAAGCAAAGGAGGCAGACAACAAGAGCAACAATATAATCAACGCAGTACACCTATATCTCTTACGTCTGGTACCATTACTGCGCTGTAAAAAATAAGGGTTTATGAGTTTGCAACGGGACATAAAGCCTTTTTCCGTTTTTGAAATACCCAATGAACGAAAAAACCGTCTATTATCTTTCTCATAGACGGCAAAAAAGGGTTTGTCTCGTTGCAAACTCATAAGCCTTTTTCCGTTTATTAGGGAATCAAAAACCGATTTTCCGTTTATTATTCTACCCTTTTTTACAGCGTGAAGTACTACCAATTGTGATGCCGCAGCGTCATCCGACCAATGAACATGAGACTCAAGCAGAGGAGTCAGCCCAACCTCTTTTGTCCACGCATGACGCTTCAAAGTCAGCATCGATACAAAAACCGTCATCGCATCATCGCGAAAAGCAACATCAAGAGCCACGAAATTGTCGGCGAAGAGACAATCAGCCGTTTCATAAACCAAAGCCGCAAAGTAAGATTCCATTCGCTGAGAGGTCAAACAGAAGGCACCTCGCGAACTGAGAGCTTACATATTTTCCATAAAGTAGAAAATTGGCGCTACACTCAAAAAACTTTCCGTAGAATAAAAAACCCTCGAAAAGGGTTCTTTGATATCTGAAATACCCTTTTCGGGTTTAATCCGTTGTATAAACCCTCCAATAAACCCTTCCGGCTGAGGTACCCTCAGGAGGATTTGTAGATTGTTGCAAATACAGACGATTAAAAAACCCTTCGAGGGTATATCCAATGCTAATGTCCTTGTGGGTTTATCGACTCCATCAACCCTGCGGATGCGTAGAATAATAAACCCCTACCGTGTAGGGTTGATGCAACCGATAAACCCACAAGGGTACATTAGCACTGGATATACCCTCGAAGGGTTTTTTAATCGTCTGTATTTGCAACAATCTACAAACCCTTCCTAGGGTACATCAGCCAGACGGGTTTATTGGAGGGTTTATACAACGAATTAACCCCGAAAGGGGTATTTCAGATATCAAAGAACCCTTTTCGAGGATTTTTTATTCTATGGAAATTTTTTTCAATGTAGTTCTGTGGATATCTTCTAAAGGTTGTCCCGAAAGTTTCGACCTCTTCCAGTAATTCCATAATATTTACCGCAAACTGGTATGAAATTATTGATCAAACTATGTCATTTTGTAGAGGAAGATTAGAGCTATCTCTCGAAAAAAATAGCTGAAAATACATTAATGTATTACAATGTTATGGTTATTTTACTAATCTTCAGTGGAAATTTTTACTTTACATTTTTGGAAAAATTCTGATCCTCTTTCCAATACAAAACTACATGGAGCAGTCAAAAAGTTCTGCAACTTCGCTATATCTATTCAAGGAAGCGATATTCTATCAATCTCTCTACACCATATTCGAGATAGTTGTCGTGAGGTTCCATGGGAAGTTTCACCCTTTCAGCTCATTCATAAGGTATTCTTTTGAAGTAAACAATAGGTACTGAATTGACCTTCTTGGTTAACGGATGAAATTCCACTAGTTCGGAGCCCTTAAACATTGGAAGAAGTTTCTAAAGGTACACAGATTTTATGTGGAACTGTTAGCAGGTGTCAGACTTACTTCTACGATCGCAATATTGGATTAAAATTACTGTTGATTTTTAAGTCAAGCTGGCCTTTACTGTTTTGTCAATGTCAGACTCTCTATAGCAGTATGAATAACATACTTTCATCTCATAATGTTAGAAATTAGACAGCGTTGATTGACTCCATCATCTTGAAAGTGGAAAAACGGGTAATGTGACACATAAAGCAAAATGTGATAAAATATTAGTCAAATTGCACATACATTGCACATATAACATTTAACAACCCTGAGTGCTACTGACCTATTGGAAATGATAATTGTTTCAATAATATTAAATTACTGACAAATAATTCAATTTGAATTAGATGCTCGGAAGATATTGATTTGATTTCCAGTATTAAATTCGTTAAATAAGGAATTTTATTCGAAATTGATTTGTAATAAGCTGTTGGGTCATCTTGGTTGTTTGTTGTTGATATTAACGGTTCCTGTTGTTGTTGACAACTATTCTTATCAAACGAATTTATTTTAATTTGTAATATTTCAATAACTGGTATAAACTCAATCAATTGAATTAACAATATTTAAATTTCTTATCAAACATTTTCCTGAATGTTGATTCACAAAACTTGAAATTGAAATTTGCTCGATTGAACATTTATTCAAGTACAAATTGTTTTCATTGAAAACTGCGTTTAATATTGTTAATGTTGTTAATTCAAACAGTAATTGCTTTTCAATACTTTTAGCCAATTTTAACTCAAATAAATTTGAAAATAAACAAATAAATGGTAAAATATCATTTTCACCATCAAAATATAATTGTAAATATTTTAATTGAATAAATTCATTTTTTAAATTTAGTTCCTGATTTGACAGAATAAAAAGTTGAATCTGATCACAAGAATTTTCATTACCTAAACTTAGTGATGTAATGTTTTTTCCAATAAATGGTAGAATACTGAAACAAAAATAAGAAAAAACTTTAAATGAAGATAAGTATTTTGTTATATTAATTTCACTCGTATAACGCGTGATTAATTGTTCAAATCGTTTCTTTTTTATATTAAAAAAACTATATAAAATATCAATGTCATTTAAATAGTCAAAAATTTCAATAATAACATCATTTGATAGATTATGAATTGTTGTCATGGCTTGTGTTTTATGGAAGCATTTTTGAGAAATATAAACGCTGAAACGAAATAAAAATAAGACTTTATTCCTGAAAATATCTTTCGTCTATGTTGAAGTGACAAAAACTCTTTTCATACGTTCAATTCTCATACGAGTAAAAGAAAAAATCAAAAGCTTCACTCATTAAAGATCTATGAACAGTTTCATTTCGAGGAAGAGAAAAAGAAGAATACTATTCTACCAATATTTAAACATTGTAATAGAATTCGATTTTGCCTTCTAATGTTTCCCAAAGAAAAATGTTTTGATCATATTAAATATTTATTTTTAATGACACCGAATGCTCAAGTGTTAGAACCTTAAGCCAATGCCCAGCTCACATTCACCTTTTTCGTCTTCGATTATGTTTTATAAAAACGCTGGGAAAAGATTTTCAGAAAATTATGAAGTTTGAGAAACAGATGTTGTAGGCTTTAAAAGGTGTCATTACAAATTCTCTAATCTAATATATAATCAAAAAGTTTGCTTTCTTATAAAATAAAGTGTTCATATCCAAAACTTAGTCGTTGAAAAAGTATTTTTCCAAGCTTGACCTAAAAGTTGGTGTCGGCTAATTTGTCTGCGAAAATAGCGATTTTTTCGCCAGTTTCGCACACAGACACACACACCCCACACCCTCCATCAAGCTTTATTATTATTCTGCACAGAATAACTGAATTCTTATAAATATCGGATTTTATTTGCTTTTAAATCGTATCATATATCTTGGTTTTTCGAAAAAGAGTGCTCAATTGTATTTATCGAATTTATTAACCAAAATATCACGGGGTACCAGTGTCAGATGATCATGTGAATTTAGTATACTTGATCTGTGAAATACGAGATCGATTGAGCAAATCTCGTCTTTAGATCCTTTTCTCATACACGCTTGTAATTCGACTTTTTCATAATAAAAAGATGAAACTTGATGCATTATTTTAAAAGGATTTCCACGCCTCTGGGGAGGCCGAGGATGAGCTTGACAAAACTCTCAGGAAGAAATGTATGAAGAACCTTTTCGTGGTTTGAGTGAGTGACAGCGCAGGAACTAGCAAAAGATTTGACCAAAGGACGTACTTTATTGAGAAATTTGAAAATATACCGGTAAGCTTCAATAAAAGGTTTCGTATAACAGCAAATGATCCATTTAACTTCATTTTATAAGAGTAAATGATTTATTTATATTTATTTATTTATTTCTACCTTTACTTTTAAAAATAAAGGTAGAAATAAATAAATAAATATAAATCAATGCTTTATTTTTATAAAATAAAGATAAATATCGAATTTATCTTTACTTTTTAGGTATAAATAATTCGTTTACATTTATTTTCCAAAGGAACACTAAATTAACACTCCTAGTTACCATGCCGTTTTCACCTGATATTAGTAAATTCGTAACTTAATGAAAAGGCTAACAAAGAGTTGAAAACATCAGGATGCGTAGGATTCGGCTGTTCTATACCGTACTTATAAGAAATCTAAAAAAAAGATACTCAAAACTGCTACGGTTTTCCGATTTCATTCGCATCGTGACAACTTAATCTGTTGTGCTTGAGTTCGTCATGGTGATATAATCCATGTTTTGGCTCTAGTAAAATGTGATCAGACGCCGTTAGCCATATTAATTCCAATTGAGAAAATAAACGCTGAAACGAAATAAAAATAAGATTTTATTCCTGAAAATATCTTCCGTTTCTATGTCGAAATGAAATACACTTTTCATACGTTCAATTCTCATACGAGTAAAAGAAAAAATCAAAAGCTTCACTCATTGAAGATCTATGAACAGTTTCATTTCGAGGAAGAAAAAAAGAAGAATACTATTCTACCAATATTTAAACATTATCTGTCATACTACTCAAAATTATCATTTAATTTTTTAAAAATTATAATTTTTATCATTGATATTATTATTATCTAATGAACAGAAACAGTAATTGTCAAGATTATGAAATAAGTTGAATGGCATTCACTCAAACAGAAAGTTCTGAACCAAATGTAACACTTTTTAATTCTCAGACGTAATTAAACTTCGTGAAAACCTGACCTAAACGGGAAAACATACAATTTCACACGCTTAATTGTTCATGTACAATAAAATGATTTTCACCATTTCTCAACTTCTTTTTTCCACAAATTAGAACATCTGGTTTTGTAGAGAACTGAAATCCCTAACAGAAAATTAACTGTAGTTCAACAGAATCGAGAGTGGACGAAATGACCAAAAAGTGCGTATACTGAGTACCATTACAATCTGTATAATACTTGATTATACGATAATTATCATTCTAGCTTACTTGATGATTTAAAATGAGAAGCGGCAATGAATGTAAATAAGCGTTCATTAATTTTTTTCAGTGTGAACGCGACCTTACATGTTCTTTGTAGAGAATGAAACTTTTTGATAACACCTTTAGTGTCGTTCTAAATTGTTTCGATTCTAAAGTTAATTGATTAGTTTTGCTACTTTGGAGAGTAGCCGACATCAGAGTGGCCTGATAGGGGTGCTTTCGGATTAATTCTGCCACGCCCGAATGATGATAGATGAAGGTCTCGAACTTGTGTGCATGTGGAGTATAGATGTTAGTGCATGTTCTGCCTATTTTGAGACTATAGGTTGACACGGAAACCTAGGAAATGACAACTTTTGCCTACAGAAGATCCATCAGATACACCACCTGCAGGCAGGATTTTGGGCCTGATTTTTTTGCTAAAAGATTTCTCCTAGTGTCTTCTATACACTGGATCATAGTTCGATCTGAAAGTTGCAGTATGTAGAGGAAATAGTTTGAATCTGCGGATTGACATTAACGTTTCGGAATCACCACCTACTCCTCGATTTTGCCTGATGGTGGCAATAGATCTAACCAAAAATTATTATTAGAAAATATCCACTATTCTTTCCAAGATATAAGGCAGATGACAGTTGTGGTAAGTTGAGAACACAATGTGATAGAGAGTTGCGATTTTCCCCATTGAAAGGGGAAACTTGGGTGCATCTTAATCCAAAAGTTCAAACGCAAATCTGTTGATTGTTTTTCGTAGATAGTTAGCCCGTGTTCTCTGATGTTGATTTTCCGTGGTTCGGGTATGGTATTGAATTTCTTGTCGCTTCAGAAGCGATACTCGATAATTTAGGATAACCTTTTAAAATCGCATGAAACAGACGTCTAGTGGTATATTTCGGCCAGTGGCAGTGCAACAGCGGGGTAATTGCCTTCCCCACACCAATGAAAGAGCGATGAGTCAGAGAGTAAAAAAGTAGTAAGATATGTCTTAAAAGTTCGGAAAAACTGCGTGAAAATGGCTCAAAATCAGAACTTCTTTTCCCATCGAAACCTTGAAAAAAACTTATTGCCCCCAAAAGTTTTTGAACTTGAGCCGTCACTGATTTTGGCTCTCATTTCCCGGTAGTTAATGGACAAAGAGTGTTTATATATAGAGGTCTGTACATGCTTACCCAGTGTTACTATCTAGCCGACTAGGTAGGGGTGGCACATTTTCTTTACTGATGCGTTACTTTACTGAGTAAAGCAACGCTTTCAAATATCACCGTATGAGTGGCGAACAACCGAAAATGTATTGTTTTATCACCTTCCGGACACAATGCGACTAAAGCGTTACTATATTATGCGTTACTGGTAACGAGTAACGCAAGCGTTACTGCGTTACTAGAAAAGTAACGCAAAAAAGCGTTAAAGTAACGCAAATAACGCTGCGTTACT